TTTTTAAGATCTTAAGTACTTAATACTTAACTCACTTCTGCTTTGCGCTTAAGCTAATTTTAACTTAATTTAAGAAAAGTAATAAATTTTGTATATTCTAGAATTAAAATTTATTCAATTGTTTTAATTACATAATTTGTATTTTAATTATTATTTAGCACAATGTGTTCCTTCCATAGACATTTGGTCCAAATTGGTGTAAATAAAAATAAAAAAATTAATTATTAATTATTCAAAGAATTTATAAATTATTATATAATATAGCTGAGATAAAATAAGGATTCTCTCAAAAAAAATGTTATTCTTACATTTTACGTTTTAAATATCAACAGAGTAGCAGAAGCTTACATAGCAAATACTGAGTTTTATTCTACAATAACGTGGATATAAATTCAACACAAATTTTCGTGTTCAATAGTGAAAGAGTCATATCATTATATAAGCATATAACATACAATGATTGAAATGTATTTGTTAGTGGCAAAGTGTACAATTCGGTATTCCTCGTGGAATTTGGATAAAAATAAAAATAACAATCACACAACGACTAATATTATTTCAATGATATCGTTTCTTGGTTTATTTATAAATGATCAAAGTGTAGCATCTATAATATAGTAGAATTATTTATTTAGTAGTAGTTTTGTCACAGTTACGCCAATTGGTGATTCAAGAACTCCTAAAATATGGCAACTTTTAGTAGAAATATAGAAGATAAACATGAAGTAACAACAAACCATAAATCACAACTTGACTAATATTATGAATGATATTCTTTTATGATTTATTGAAGTATCTGTTTTCGGGTCTATATCGCAAGCCCGACAACCGAAAGACCGTCTATTGAAAGCTCGACGTTCGAAATCGCGAGTGTATCGAAATCCCGACTACCATAATCCCGACAATCAAAATCCCGACTGTATCGAAATCCCGAATATATCGAAATCCCGAATATATCGAAATCCCGACTACCATAATCCCAACAATCTAAATCCCGATTATTAATTGTTGTTATTTATTTTTAATGACAATAAATAATATTAATTATTATTGTATTTTTTTTTCTTTGACTTATTCATTATAAAACTTAAGAATAAGAAATATTCTATAATAAAATTAGTTTATGTTATTAACAATAAATAGCAACAATTAATAATCTTATTAAGTTTTAGATTGTCAGGATTTCGATATAGTCGGGATTTTGATTGTCGGGATTATGGTAGTCGGGATTTTGACATAGCCGGGATTTCAATATAGTCGGGATTTCGAACGTCGGGATTGCGATTGCCACCGTTTGTTTTCAATTTTTTATTAGTCCCATTGGTACTAATAAAAAATTGTAAAATAAATATATTACAAAATTTAATATTAATATTCCGATTTAAACTTAAACAACTAGTATTGTTATTTTATTTTTTTATTTAGTTTATGTTCTAATTTCTATTCAGTTATTTATATTTAGAGTTGTTTCGTTTTCAATTTATATTAATTTTTTTTTATGTGTAATTTTGATGTACAACTTCATATATTTTGCGTAACTTCAACAAATGATTTAAATGTCAATTTACATCCAAAAAATTATAGTAGAACAAACATTCGCTAGACGATATATGATCTTTTAATGCCTATTTAGAAAGGATTTAGCTATGACCTCTAAAAATTCTGCAATAAGAAGATTACATGAACTAATGAAAATAAGATTATCACTCGCTAACACTAACTCATATAAATTTGAAAGATACTTTCTTGAAATGTATTTAATTAAAATTAAAACTAATAATAATAATCTTTAATAGTCACAATTGTAACCAAAAGGCTAGCGAATTAAAACTATGTATATTGAATTTCTCTTTTAATTCACCTTTAAGTATTTTCTAATTTTGTTTACCTATTGTAATAATATTATTAGAATGGATTATTGTTACATTTTACACTAAAAATCGCGAGAGTTTCAATAATGTTTCAACTAACAATATTTTTACAAAAATTAACCAGAAATGAGAAGGAAAATCTAAACATTTTTTTTAATATATCGAAATCCCGACAATCATAATTCCGACAGTATCAAAATCCCGAAAACCATAATCCCAACTGTATCAAAATCATTTATGTATGGTTGTCGGGATTTTGATACAGTCGGAATCTCGAATGTCGGGATTTCAATAAATATAAACAATCTTATGGAAAGCTATAAATATTATGTAAAAAGTTAAATACATCAAGAATGTACATGAAGTTATTTTTTAAGTTTCAATTATAAAATTCAATGATTAATGAAAAATTAAACGCTTGTCCTCGGAACCATTCATGCAAACACAGTTTTCACAATTCATAAAACGCAAAGAATAAATATGTTAATATTATTTGTTGCATAAATATTTTTTTGTAAAATCTAAAACCTGTTGTTTACAATAAATTCTGTTATGTCTGCTTTTAATAAGATATAATAAGTTATTAGATTAAACATAATATTTACATTTTTGTAAAAAAATATTTGGTTAAAATCTAAAGAAAAAAAACTCATAATCAATATACTAACAAAGTTTTACTAATTTAGCTTTATTAGATTGCAATGTCTGAAAACAGTAATTTTGGACAATAATGTTTAATATATGAGATAAACTACGACATTAACAGTAAAAAAATATTTTTTATTATTTTTATAAAAATAATTGCCTAAATATAAAGAAATATAAATTTAAAAAATCACTCAAGGACGTCCGCGGACGCATAACAAAAAATGACATGTCTGGGAAATCCCGGACGCATGCCAAATCTTTGCGAAACTTATGTAACTTCAACCCCGGGTATTAGTGATATTTCTAATTTATAAAATATGTTTTTCAAAAAGTCATTAAAAAAGTTCAAAGGCGTCGATAGGATCGGATAATCGAATGCCCGGGGCCCCGCGAAATTTGGGGCCCTCAAACAGTGTTTTTATATTTATGTCCGGAGCTTCAAAAGCAAAGGACGGCCCTGTTTATGATTCTATCTACTATTGCACTCTTGTCTTTCTATAATATCATCAGATAGAAAGTAAAACCAGTAATAAATTAAAAATTTATTTAATGTACTTTGTAATACCATTTCTTCTTAATCTGCATTTTTACAGTATATAACTGTGCCTATTTTTACTACTTATGTGTGTAAATAACATATACAAAAATGAAATAGGGAATTCCCCGAATTGGATCGATTATAATTTGCTTTAATTTGTTGTGGTGACATCTAGTATTTAGTAGATTACTATTTAAATGGTTTTCTTTTTGTATTGAAAACAAATATTGTATATACTCTAATCATATTACATGCACATGAAAAAGATAAATGGTCATTAACATTAATTTATATATAATAACATTGTTAATAATCTATAATTATTGATAGTATTAATTCGGTAATAAATAAATATTAGTATGAAAGTTCCACATCATGGAAAATTATGTATTTATTTAATATCTTACATACGAGTATTCCGAATGACTTCTAAAAATGTTACTATGTAAACTAATTAATTGTCACTTCTGCCTTCTTAATCTAACATAATCCGGCTACAATAAACAGCACCAATTTGTTTACGTCAGTTTCTATGTACAGTAGCACATGTATCTACATACATTTCATCATTGTTTGAGTATACAATATCTTATTAGTCTTTATATTTTTATAGATTAGAGTACATATATATTATATATTTTTATATACATAATTGAATTTGAGGATCCTACTAAACACGCTAAGTCCAATATCACCTAATGTGAAAGAAGTTTGATTAAGGAATTTATGAATTATTCGATTAGAAAGCAACCCAATGCAGTATCTTATGTTTTCTGGACGCATCTCAAATTTAGGAGACAAATTTTGGAAAACATTATTATATAAAAGAAAACCCGCGTCACGTGGAAAAGTCACACTTTTTTGAAAGAATATTCTAGTTTACAGCAATAAAATATAGCCATAAACGTAATCTAACGACTTACGCAATAAATGTAACTATGAAATCCATATTATGCGTGAAATATAAAAAGAGAATAGAATGAACTAGAAAATGACTTCTTAGTATTAATATGGTCGCCTAAGGGTTAATAGAATTATTAATCATAAATCAATGATCTATAAAAATGAAGGTCCTTTTTTATTAACGTGACCAATCGTTCTCCTTTAGCGAGGACAGTATTTCTTTTGTAGTTTCTGTACTTCCTCAAAAAGTGTCCTCCTACCTGTTCCTCTTTTCGCCTGATAGTTTGAAGAAATTAGAAGTCTGAATGTATATTTAAATTCTGATAAATTACAATAATGGGGAAATCAACATGTTTAAATTGATAAAATATTTAACCATTTCAAAAATGAACACATTCCATATGAAAATTTAGTAATTCTTATTGAATTTACTTTGTGCTGCCCTGGAACTAATGCAGCAGAGTTTTTTCAATTGGTAATGATTTTTGGACAAAAGGGAAATCAAGATTGAATGTTGATACTCTAGTTGCCGTAAAATTCAATATGAAGGATATTTCTTGCTCAGAAATTTCCAATATATTGTTAGAAAATTGGTAAATCATTAAATGGAAAAATACTCGTTTAATTAAATAATTAAAAGGGATATAAGCATAATTAGTGTATTTTTGTTTGAATTATGTTTCATTTATTTACGTACTTTTTTTCTTAAATTTTTTCATTGTAAAAAAATTGGTCACCTTATTTTTATAGATAATTGAATGAAATCAATGGTCATTCATGTACTGTTAGTCGGTACATGTGTACATGCGCTGTAAATTCACTTGCATAGTAAAGCTTTTACAATATGTGAACTACCCCATGAATGAACTAGACTTCATTGATTAAATATCCGGCTGTCATAGTTCCCAGTTGATAGAAATAAGTGATTTTCTATATAATAATTAGTGTCGAAAGCGAAGCTTTTAACGTTTTATGTGGAATCGATTGCAATACTTCTCAGTTTTTGTATTTATATACATGTAAACATTAATATTGTACAATATTTTTTGTTGTGTTAGTTGCTGGAAACAATTTCAAATGATAAATTGTGTTAGGCAACTGGTTGCACTTCAATGACCTTCGGTTGGTAACCGCAAGCCAAACCCAAAAAACATGGTTTGGGATAGTAGAGATGAATAAGTTGTTAACTTCGTTTGCCTTTAATGTTTGACGCCAAAATACACGGCGCAAATTCATCGTAACTTTGATAACAGCTACATGTAAAGGTGCCTCAAAATTGATGTTTTTGTTTTCGGAACGTTCTTACCGTTAATTAATTCAAGCTTTAAATGATGATAGCTAATGTTCACTAGAATAATTATTTATTCATAACATTAGGATATCAATTGAATCCGGGAATTGAATAATGCAGTAGTAATATCTTTAATGTACTCAAGGAAAGTGGAGAAGTTTATTTTTGTATGATATATAGTTTTATTAAATAGTCATTAGTGAGAAAATGTCGAAGAATAAATTGAACCTCACATTGCCTCCTGGCTCCATCGACCAAACATCATTTGGTGTCATCCTTGGAGGAGCTTCATTTGCTGATGCCAATACGTTAGTACCAAATACGTTAGTTTCTTTTATATAAGAATTCTTATTAATAATAAGATTTTTCAGGTCGAATCATTTGCTTAAGGGGAGCAGCATTGATGATTTGACAGCAAGGCTAGAGGAGCTTGATATGGATGATATACAGAAACGGAGAATAGAAGTATTCCTATGCCAGAAAGAGAAGATTGGCACAGATGTCAGTGATGATGATTTCGATAAATTGGGTGAGCTTGGTTCAGGTAATGGCGGTGTTGTGATGAAGGTTAGACACAAGTCAACAGGCTTAATAATGGCCAGGAAATTAATTCACCTGGAAGTAAAGCCTGCCATCAAGAAACAAATAATCAGAGAGCTGAAGGTGCTCCATGAATGTAACTTTGCACACATCGTTGGATTTTATGCTGCCTTTTACAGTGATGGTGAGATCAGCATTTGCATGGAATACATGGATGCTGGCTCATTGGATCTTATTCTTAAGAAAGCAAGACTAATACCTGAGAATATATTAGGTAAAATTACCTCAGCTGTGTTAAAAGGTCTAAGTTATTTAAGAGATAAACACTCTATCATTCATAGAGATGTAAAACCAAGCAATATTTTATTAAATAGTAGCGGGGAGATTAAGATTTGCGATTTTGGGGTATCAGGGCAACTGATTGATTCTATGGCTAATTCATTTGTTGGTACAAGGAGCTATATGTCTGTAAGTAATCTATTATCTATGCTGTTATCATTCATTAAATGTATTATTTGTTTAGCCGGAAAGACTCCAGGGTACACACTATTCAGTTCAGAGTGACATCTGGTCACTGGGGCTATCATTGGTAGAGATGGCTATAGGAATGTATCCAATTCCGCCTCCAAGTGCCAAGACATTGTCGGCGATCTTTGGATCTAACACGGAGGGCGATTCTCCGGGACACGCGAATGCTCCACGTCCCATGGGAATCTTCGAGCTGCTCGACTACATCGTGAACGAACCGCCTCCAAAACTACCCAATGGTATATTTAGCGATGACTTTAAAGACTTTGTCGATAGATGTTTGAAGAAGAATCCCGACGAACGGGCTGATCTGAAGTCATTGATGGTAAATATACGACTTAATCACTTTTCTAAGATTATTAAAATTATTGCTCTAATAATTTCATTTACTTAACGAAAAATACGTTTACAAAACTTGTTTTAATCATTATAGAATCATGTTTGGATAAAGCAGTCCGACGCGGAAGATGTTGATATAGCGGGTTGGGTTTGTAAAACTATGGATATTCAACCATCTGGAGCAAAGCATTAACTGATGTCATTTAGCCTATTGAAAAAAAAATGGTTCATATTAGTAATAGTTAATATTTTCAAAGTAACACTGCGTTTGTACAAGAATGTATCTATTCACATTTTTTTTTTGAAGCATTTAGTTTTCAAGTAAGTTGTTACAAACTGAAAGCAGTACACTTTTAGATTTATTTATTTTTTAATGGGAGAATTAACAATACAAAATATGATATACATCAGCCAAGCAAGTTTGTTACCTTTGATGTTGTCGATATTTACAAAATACAAAAGTGAGAAAAACCATTCACTATATACTAATAATGATTCACTATAAGATATTGTAATAAGGATTCACTATAAGATATTGTAATAAGAATGGTCTTTATATAAATATTAAATTCAAGTAGCACTTATGCCTTTCAAATTGTAAACTAAATATGCCACGTAATTAATATTTATAAATATATATAGAAATATATTTCAATCTTTAAAATCATTACAAATTAGAACAATAATATATATATAGAATAATATTTAAATCTTTAAAATCATTATAAATTAAAACTAAAATATATATATAAAAGAGAAAATCAAATTATATTTCTAAGATATGTATTAATGAATAGTATTTCACTCATTTCTATATTATATATATATGTACACGTATATAATAAATAAATAATTTTCACATATTTTACATCGCAAATAAAGAAGATTATAAAATAATAACTTACACAGAAATATGCTTGAGGTATATAAAAGAAACGTCTTCCAACGACCAGACAGTTTTACATTATGTATTATATTTATTGTAATTGTAATTTATTAATAAATACAAATTTACGTCATAAAACTGCCTTCGTTTTTCTCTCTGGGGTGCTCTTAAAAAGCATCACCGTGTCACCAGTTCATCGGCCGCAGGTAAACTAATTACAATCAATTGGTATCGACTGGACTGCAGATCAGACCACAAGCAAATACTAAAATCCTTCCGCCGCCAATTAATTAATTAAACAGGCATTCATTTCATAATGCAAATGTTTGAAGTATTCTTATTAAAGTCCGGTATTTTATCGGCGAATAATTGATGACTGGTGGATAATTAACAATATGATTTATTTATTTATTTACAATTTTTATTGTTCTCAAAGGGCGGAAATCTTTCAGAACAAACGCAAATATTATTTTTTTTCAAGCCCAATTCATTAAACTGAACTTATTTCAAATTTTTCGCCCAAATTCTCAGCAATTTTAAAGACTGATATTTCCCGAGAAAAAAACTCATGATAAACTTATGATAAGATTACTTATTCTAATTTAAACTTTTAGAATTATTACAGTGTATACTAATTATTTTGTCTGTTCTATTTTTGTTTTACATTGTACATATTTTTTAATAACGTTTTGTGTACCTTTTTTATAATAAAATGGTTCTAAGAAAATAATTGGTTTGTATTTATTTTTAATTCTAGTATATAGTAATAATAATTTAAATAAATATACAAATAATTTTTTGTGTAATATATAGATTATTATATTATAAATATTGTTTCCATACAGTTTCCTTTCCTACTACTAGTTCAATATCTAACTTTTTATAAATTATCTTAGATTCTCGCGAATAAAAATATTTACAGGTATCCGGAATTTTAAAAATTTCAAAATATACTTATTTTACGACATTTTATCATGGTTTTTACTTTTATATATGTTAAATTTCGTATTACTGCATAAATTTGAAAAAATAGATTAAAATAAACAAGATACTTACTTACAAATACTTTTCAATTATTTAATAAAAAACGACGAAACCAAAGCAACAAAATTATTATATTTTATTAAAGAAATTATCATTTTTTGTTTGGACAGTTAATTTTTTATCACTGTATATCTCCTTGTAACAAGTTAGAGGTTTTAGAATTTTGTTCGTAAGTCGTATCTGTAAATAATTTTAAATTTCCCAGGTACAAATAAAATCTAGAAAACCGTAAAAACCCGATATTTAATCGACAAAACATTTTATAATCAAATTTAAAAATATACAAATATTAGAGAAACTATAATTAGTTTAACAACGAAATATCTACTCTTTCAATAAAAGTTAATATTTTCAAGTAAAATATACTATTCACATACATCATGGCATTTATTTCCAATAATTATGTTAAGGGAAATGCAAGAAACTAATTTACTTCTTTGTATTATATGGCTTTGTGAGTGAAAAAGGTAATTAAAAATAATTAGTATAAAAAAATTACGATAATCTTCATAAAAATGTCATTAGATAACACAAATAAAGAAACTTTTGTTTCTAAGACAGACTTTTCTTTTATAAGTAATTACTAGTAAAAGTATTGAAAACGTATGCAACTTGTGTTTCATAAAAAAATCGAATGGCATTTCTTGAAAAAATACCAAATTAAATCATAATACAAAAATATAGTTTTCATGAAATTTTAATATAAAAATATTGACAATTAGTTAGTTACCTGATGAAATCAAAGATTATACTAAAAGTGGAGTATAAGAACATTTAAATTAAAATGATTTAAATACTACCATAAACCAATGGCCTTAGTAAATATACTATCCTAATAAATATGTCAAATATAAAATATCTTTGAGTATAATCTCATTAATTGTCAGAACTAATGCTGATTATCACACACTTTTATAGCTCATAAATTGAAAGATATGATAGGTAATTTTACCTATCCAATGTTCCTAATTCTCATGTAATGGCACAAAATATTTTTTGTTTAAACTTTGTAAAATTTATTATTTATTGCACATTAATTTTGATTGTATATTGAAATCAAGGTGTGTTTAAGAAAAATCATAAATTCGGAAACATCATTTTTTTTAAATATTTCGTTTATTTTTCTTGAATTCTGATTATATTTTCTTATACTTATCCATTCCATTTTTACCTTTCGCACATGATGTAAGTATGTACAAGTTTGATAGTATATATTTAAATGTTTTATTTATTTAACATCAAGTTTTTATTTGTATGATGATAATTATTAAATATATAAAATTTATTCAAAAATAAAATGAAAAATCTATTAACATTTTTTTTGTAATGATTAAATAGAATATTAATAGACTAAACATTGTTGATTACCCAAAAAGTCTAAATACTTATCGATTGAAAATAATAATATAAAATCAATTCCTATTGAATAAATTTTTCTTATTTTTGTTTTATTATGAGTTTATTTATAAATACGTATTTATTTCTATTGATTTATGACTGCTACAATAAATATTATTATTTAAAACTTTTTGTTGTTTATCGTATTGGAAGCAAAACAGCGGTAAGAATTCCACATAGTATCATATTCGGTTTGTCTGTTCGAACATAATTTTGAAATAATTATGGCAGCTGGTTTATATCATGATAACATGTTACAAATATACAAGATACGACCAGTCGTATACAAGGTCACCAATGCCGCAACTGTGAAAACTCAAAGCATGAAATTAATAAAATAATATTTGGAATCAATTTATGATTGTAATAATTATGTTTTAATAAAAAAAAACTATTATCAGAATATTTAAATATGTATTAATCAGAATATATACTTCTCTTTGATTAGATTTAGTTCAATGAATCAATATAATTTAAAACGACTAATCGTTATGCGTTTCTTGTCTTTATCTATTACTACTTCATATTTTTCAATCTGATTGCAACGTACGTCACATGCGAAATTGGAACGACTGTTGGTTTTACATTGTATTTTATATCATGCGTATAAATGTCAAAGGATAGACTAATGACTAACGGATGTTCATAGCGCATTGACTATGGTCGTCTATGGCAGTGTTTCCCAACTTTTTTCAGGCACACCTCATAAGAATAAATAATTTTAGAACAACTTCAATGTGATGAGTTAGAGGGTGATTTTACGTCCAATATTTTTAATATGTAATAAATAAACATCACAATTCTCGTTGGTTGGGAAGCACTGGTCTATAGTATTTCATAATACGATAAGAAGTTGGTGCAGTTAGCACTAATAAGTGGTAGAAATAGAGCCGTCAAAATAATAATAACAGCGCAAATAAAATAACATAAAAGTATTTTATTTATTAATTCTTAAAAATATATTATAAAGAAGATGCAAATGAAATAAAGAAACAAACGCGTTTCATAAATTCAAGTTTTAATATGAAATTGTTGCAAAAGAATTATATTTTATGTTTTATAAAAATGTTTGTAATAAAGACTTATGGTCAATATCTCTTTGTAATAGTTGATCATTTTTTTATATTATTATTATATATGATTTTAATATTATTATTAAATTAATATGTAGGGGATTCGATTTCGTAACGAGTGGCCTAGCTATGGGTGTAGTAGAAAATTTTCGATTTTTTTTCCATGAAATTCCCTACATTATAACTTCATTCGAGCATCATTGTACCTGAAATCTAGTAAAAGTGTTTAAAGTAATAATCTAAACAGTCCTATATATAATATCCTTTGAACGAACCGGAATTTCTTTATGGAATCTGGTATATACTTTGGTAAATATAAATGAAAGTTATTTCATTGTCCATAGAGCACAAACAGTATTCAATCAATAATTGAATCATACACATTCATATAGAACAATGCACAATTGTAATTGAATACATCTCACCTCACTTAATCATAGTTTAAAAATTATTAAACCGCTTCGGACGTCGATTTTTCAAAACTTAAACACGCTCAAATTTCTTAAAAAAACACAAATAATACATATGTTGTTAATAGATTAAAATAGACTATTCTTTGACAATTGGATTATTAGTTTAGATTTAGAAGAAAACACTACAATAAAATAAATTATAGTTTGCAAATAGATAGTTTTTCTGAAACTTAAAGAAAAATATGAATTGACTAAAAATAATTTACATAGGAATTAACATTTCCAATTACATTAAAATATAGTGTTTTTTTTTCAATTCATTAGATTACATTGAAATAAGTAAATAAAAAGTGGCTGTAAAAAAATCAGATTAAATCCTAATGATTATGATATTGTCTGATACACTTTCAGTTGTATAAAACTACAAAGTTTTAGCAGTTTGTATTTCATATATGATCGTAACTACTGTCCATAATTAAATTCCCCAGGTATTGTAGTTTATAATCCTATATAATTATATTCATTTGGAAAATGCTTATTATTATTTTATTAATTTTCTCAGACAATAAATAAATTGAATATGAAACAAAGGTTATATCTAAATTGTTGTTCTATATTTACTTTACATACAATTTATGTGGTAATCTTGTATGATTTAACATGATTGTTTAAAAAAAAGCGATTTAGTATAGGCAAGAAAATAAGAAATAAGACCGGAAGCATAAAAAATAGGAAACAAATTATAAAAGTTTGAACTCTGTAATGTGGGTTGCATAAAATACTTTTGTGGGCCAAGGGAGATGTTTAGTTAAGCTGGCGTCACCGTCCTCTCGCTCTGTGCCACTCTAGGTTTTCATTCGAGCGAAGTAGTCGGAACGGGAGCAGTTCAAATGCAGTGGGCGCGAAAGCCGTGGTCGTCTAGTGGCTCCTCACACAACTAATCAAAAATAAAATGGCCCGAACGTCATAAATATAAGATTATTGTTTGTGTTCAATGGACAGCTGATAATTTAGAACAGTTCACAGAGGTTACAGCGGAGGCAAACTTTTTTGTCGGCTATTTTGGCCGTTTTCTGCAGCATGTTTAGGCGAATTAAAATTTGGACAGTGCCATAGATAACAAAACGTAGGAGAATATCGTAGTGTTCGTATGTGCGTGCGTCCGTTAATATTTTGTGTATCCTGTGAATTGTTAGCAGTTGTTATTTCGTTTGTTTTTATGCACATTGGAACATAGAGGTATATATTTGTACAAGAAAGGGGCAAAATTTCGTGACAATAACAGTGGGAGTCCCATTTAAACAATGGCTGGGGAAGAAGCAGCAGCAGCAGACATGCACTCTCAGCTGGCTCATAAGGATGTCATCATCCGGGAACAGAGAGAGCACCTGGTGCGGCTGAAGAGAGAACTTGAAGGGCTCGCCAGCGAACGAGACCTTCTGCTCTGTGAGAACAGCAATCTACGATTCGAACTGGAGATGATGGAACTAAAACGTCTGCAAGATGAAGGGTGAGTTTATAGGGATAGAAGCAGTCTTGTTCGGACCTAGGGGGCGCTCTCTGGAATAGCACAGCTCTTGAACTTCGCATCCTTAGCATTAACCTTATTATTCACACAAGCCATTGTTTTCGTCCGCACCACGGCTCGCTTCCCATGTTCTTTGAAACATTTGCTCAAAACGAGAGGAAAAGAGAATAAAAGCGGTCTGGTGTAAAAAGAGGAAGGCACTAACGCTGTTTTGTAATAAGAATTCGCTTTACAGTCTGTTGAACCTAATAATGAATGTAAGAGGCATAAGCGCAGACAGTACACACACACACGTATATGTGTGTGTATATATATATTGAAACACACTGGTAATTATTTCACGTCTATTAAAAGCTGGTATAGAAGACCCACGCTAAGAGGCCACTTTACCATTCTTTTTACACGTACACCAGTAACATAACATTCGAATTCACCACGTTTTCGCGTTTTGTAGCATTCAGAGATTCTTGACTGGTTTTCAATACCCTATTCTCATTCTCGTTAAAGCCGTTTTGCGTTAGCACGGTAATCAAGATCTCGTCAATGTACTTTTATTTAGCGTAGACATACACTGTAATACGTTTTTAAGTAAATGTTTTTCAGAACATTCTTCATGTTCAGATTGAGAATATTCATATTAATTTAATAGTACTATTTTATATTTTGCTATTATTTTTATTATTTTTTTAATAATCAATCACCTTATATACAATACCCAAAACATGTGCCACACATACATTTAATTACGATGTTGGCTTTATTGCGGTGGTCTGGAACAAGCGGAATACATCGCGGAGAATACCTGTATTGCGTTTGTGCAACTGGAGTATCAGTCATCCCTTGTGCATTGACGATTTAGGGGAAGAATGGAAACGACGCGTGCGCTCAAGTTTGCACAACCGTCATGAAAACGCCAGTCGAAAGCTTGCATCCTCGACCGTGTGTTTCCCCCTTACGAATCCTAATTCTTTTATTTCTTTGCAAACGGAGAATGCTTCTGGTACGTTCTGATGGTGATCTGGTTCAGAGGAGGTGGTTCTTATGTAGGTGACAGTGAGGAATCCATTACCACTACCACCGACGGGACACCTAAATAGGTACTACAACTACTTCTACTACTGTTTGCTTCCTACAGTATCGCTCGCTTTCGGTGCTTCTTTATAAAAAAATGTTGAACAGATCAATAGCGCATTTCATACTAATGAAAGTACGGTCCACGGAAGAGTTTTAACTAGAGCCACCTTCGTGAGTGTTCTGTGCTATTTCGTTAGCATAAATCATAGTTTTTTTTAATTTGAATGATAAGGTACTTCTCTCTTGGAAATATAATATCTTCATGTTACATTTTGGTAAGCTCAATGCGTTAGTTTAACAGCTGATCATACTGTTACGAAACCGTTTATTGATTATAGCATGTTGTGATGTCTGCGCAGAACTGCGAATAGTGTTGCCTATGTTGATATCTAAGCACTGTTATTTCTTTATAGCTTATTTTTCCTAAGCGGTCTCCGGAAATCACTGCGATTCTAATAACATTTATTTATTTTAAAAAAACATTAGAAAGTCGCATGCGGGAGCAATTGCTAATAAGTGAAAGTTTTATGTGGATATCATCCGCCTTTAATATTATTGTTGTACTTCTATATTAGAAATAACCACGGAATTGAGAGTGCAACACTCAATGTGGGCGTATATGCGGTATTAGAATGTATTGATTACCACATAGACGCTCACACATGCAGACATATTCATTCCAGTTTTCAGTTGCATCCATATAATTCCCATTTGAACATATATTATAACTTAAAAGCTGAATCAAGTAACCAAGAGCAGATTTAAAGTTCATGCATTATTTGTAATGATAATGCTTAATTATTAATTAAATTACTAAATTTATCTTCCTTTTGTTATTATAAAAGTTTCTAAATTATTTCGATTGTTAAGATTATTAAATTGCCTTATAAATTCAATATATAATAATAATAATAACATTTATTGCAACATTAAAAAATAGCTTTACTATATTTCTTTAAATAACTTATCTAAATTATGAATTAAGTAATTCAGTGATAATATATTTTTTGTTGTTGTTATGCAGGATACTTTAATTTCAAGAACTTTTATTTTATACAAAATATGTGAAAACTATATAAACAAAAATGTTTTTAGAAACTCTCCAAGGCAATGACAAGCAAAAATATACATGTTTAAAAAAAATGGTGTTAGTTTTTGCTCAATGGTTCACAATAGAGAAAGTTAATGTAATCTTTATTTGCTAAATTTAGAGAATTTCAATAAATTATTTACGACAAACTAACATGCATATAAAAGCAAATTCTGTAATTGTTGAGTATATATTGTTTTTTAAAATAAAGTGTGAAGTATAAATAATAGAAAAAAACTAGACATTGCGTAATTAATTAATGATAATTTTAAACTCAGATTATATTTAAAACAACAACAATTAAATACTAACATTTAATACGTTTGAAATACATTCATAATAAATACTAGTGCTGATTATTTGTAATCGAAATAATGAACTAAATTTTATAATAACAAGATAAGAGAATATTGGGAATTTCAATGTCATCTGTTAAGTTAATTGTATAACAATTAATGACATCGGATAATAAGTAATTAGATTTAACAACATTTTTGGAACAAGTGAAATTTTGGTAAAGGATTATATGCGCAGCCTTGGAAATCCAAACCATAATCTCGGATAAAATGTCAAGTTTGGAACATCTTGATATTCAATTTATTCAGAACTTGTTGCAAAGAGATCCAGCGGACTATAGGCGAATTAATGATTTTATTACCATCGTGGATTTGGGGCATTTCTATTTCTAAAATAGTATACCAATAAATAAAAGACGTGCTGACATAGTACTGGATAACATTTACATTTTTAGCACGTAGACATATACCGTTAAAAGTAATCATGTTGTAAGTGAACCAGTTTATATAAAACATTTTATATTGTACTTTTAATTCGGTAAAGTACATTTGACGTTAAATCGCAAATATTTATACCAAATAAATAATGCTTATAATATCAAAACATATGTTTAATACAAACAACCTTGAATTCTTGAAACATGTGTACTATATTTCTGATTTCAACGATAAGCAAACAATATATATATATAAATTAATCTCCAGCTTGCTTTAAAACAAGAACTAGGTCAACTATGTAAACATTTGAGCGAAAGCAACTTTATAATTGTATTACAATTATTACAATATTATCAACAAATATGTTTTGTTTGTAGATAAAAAAATTAAAATTGTGCCACTTTTATATAATTATTGTTTTCTTTTTTATCAATTATCTCATAAATTTTAAGATCCGTTTGAAAAATACATTTAATTTTTACGCATCCAAATTTACTGAAATTATTATGTGATATACATAACGTGCACCTCGTATAACGAGCATTTCGCTTAACGAGTAAAATAAATTGTAATCGTTCCATTTTGGAGTCATTTTTCGTTAAGCGAAATGCTCGTTATGCGAGGTTCCACTGTATATTTCTTTAAATTTCGTATGTGGAGAAATTAATTTTCATGTTTGTTGTTTCTTTAGTGCCCAATGGTGAATAGTATGGGCCTGTTAGATAAAAACAATGGCCGAAAGAGGAAATGTCGTAGGAAAGTTGGTGTGTCATAACGTCGCATGAATTATTAATTATATTTATACTTACTTTCCTTTAATACACTTGTCTAAATTTATTTTAATATAAATATGACGCGTGTTATAGGAAATAAAAAAAAAAGGAAAATAATAGAAATCGTGTGATAATAATGGATCTTATACGATGATTTGAAATTGCATCAATTTCGTTATTATCTTTTAAACGATTTCAATTAGCTATTTAATCATACATATCGTCATCATGCTACTGGCTTTTAAAGAAGTTATTGGTATGAAACTCCATTTCGTTCGCCGTGACACGGCGTCATAGTTATACGAGTAATACAAAAAAGTATATAAATTTAGCTTTCATTAAGTTTTCTTTATATTAATTAATTGTTTCTTATCTGACCATGAACATGATATATAAGCATATAATTTTAAAGTGTTACACAATAAATATGCAATTGAAATTATTTATTTGGTATTGTTTATGAATGATAAAAATGATATTTTTCATTATCACGTTGACCGAAACATAGATAATAATGTGGATAATTTTGTGGATAATTGCGACCTTTTATTTATTTTTGTTGTCTGAAAGCTTATGTTTCCATTTTCGCTTTACCTGCTGGTTTCTATTTCCGTGTGAGTACATTTCCATTCCTTCGACCCGCGTTTTTATATGCGAAGCATACGGTTAATGCGATATCCTATACCGTATGGTTGCACCCACACCAAGAAGTCTGGCCCACTTGGTGCGATTCAGCACAAGCACATTTTAGTTTTCGTCGGTCGATCGGTCACTGTCGATCTTTACGTCGTTGTTTGCGGTTTCCACTCTTTCCGCTGAAGGGGTGAGTAAAATCGAAAGGGGGTTCCGTGATTCAAATGGATATTGAAACAATTTGTAGGAGTAGTCTATCCTACAAATGGTTCTCCGAGTGGCGGTAGAGTAGCCAAGGACTGTGTGCAGCTTACGTCAGACAACCTCGCACCTTCCTCTAGTAACAGAACGGTTCTAATGCAAGCAGAGTATAGATTGTTTTAGAGCGCTGCCATTCCATCCTTCCATTTATAAACTTTCCGTGAGTGCATGTAAATACGGCAGTCAGCTGTTGGCGCAGTCGAATAATAGAATATGACGTGGGTGCTTGGTGCTCTGGCATAGGAGGTGTCAGTTCATGCTGCTGGTGTTAATTGCATTGTAAATACCGTTCCTGGCAGCACCGAAACAAACAAACAAACAAGTTCTGGGTGTGTGCGTCTGTTTTATTTCGCGATAGATGTTTTCGTGTATGTGCTTTAATCCTTGTTTCACGTCCGCTACATCGAATATGCATTAGTGCGCCAATAATTTACTTCTTCCATAAAGCTAAAAAAGGTTAGAAAGTTATCTGTTGGCTTAAATCACTTTTACTATCCCTGGCTGCGCTCGGTTCAGTCGGAATTATAGTTCTCAGCGATTCGGCTATAGCTGAAGAGGTGGTGCCAGTGCGCTTTCTATATTCGTTCCGTAGAATGCTCGTGGATTAGTGCGAAAATGCGCGGACATTTGGTGGTCAGGGATGTGCCCAGTTCACATACGGTGGTCAGCGACAGGACGGTGGTGCGTGTACACCACTCGAGGGTGCAAGAGAGGGTGAGGGTGGTGTGCACCACCAGGCACCAGCATACCAGCCGGTTCGTTACCGTAACGGAGGCCTGTTCCAGTTTGCCACCGTTCAGGAAACATGTCACCACGATCAGGTACTATGGGACTCCATTATTGATATGACCGATTGTGCAGCAATTGTTTGTTTATTTATTTGAGTTCATTATTTGTTGTCCGATTCTGTTATAAAACAACTATCGCTCAATAATATTTCAACACTAAAACAATAATAAAAGACTTGCTGACATCACATTCATTGTTAGTTTTGTTTATCTTGTGAAAGTTGAACATTGACAGTTGAATATTCGTTAGCTTGGCATTTCTCCAGTTGCTATAAGGTCAATATGCGCTATTTTATTTAAATTAAGTGACTCGACACATACGATCTGCCATATAAATTTGTATGTATATTGTTGAGGTGACCCAGTAAACGTATGCCATAAAGCCAGTTATGCGCTCCTTACTCTGCTGCTGTTGTGCCTCTAAAGGAAAATATAGGTATTTTGGTCTTATTTAATGTGCGTAAGGGGTGGCGTGATCTCAGCAATCCTCTTTTCTTGTGGGAGGCGCGTCCTCAAATCAATCGTGCCACTAATAATTATAACTGTAAATTGACTACACTGCAATTTTCCATTCGAAAACATTCCATCTCGCCTATTATTCAAGGTCCATGGAGTCCATCCATTTTCATTTCTAATTATTCCTACTATTTCGCCTACCTGCTCTCAGCAACGGCAACAAGCAACAAGGAGTTTACGTAACGCAACAGCGGTTGTGTAACGCATTGTTGAGTAATTCGTGGTTAATATCGACCACATTGTACCAGATGTAATTGATGCGACAGTGACAGATCAAATAGTATAGTTAATTTTGCCACCGTTTCACCGATTGGCCGCCTAGGCCGAAGTAGTAATTAGATGGAAAACTGCGTAGGGTATTAATTAAATTGACGTCCACTTTAATGATCTTAAATTGATGCTGATATTTTGCTATAACCATTATTAGATAAGCTGGTTGCTATGTATAGTGATTGTAGTAAAATACTTGATTTACAGAAAAATATGACAGTATTAGTGGGAGTCGCCCTCAGAACTCAGATTAATGTCCATTTTCTAAATATAAATCGGGCCACCGGTGTCGTTGAACTTCGTTGAAGTACGGGCTCGTAAAGGAACGCCTCCATCTGGAAATTGGTACGAGCTCGTCGCTTCCGACTTCCGGGCTCTGGCCGCATTTTCCGTAACTATACGTGATTCGAATCTCCCAATTCTCAAACTCATCCATTTCTCTATAATCAATTTTCACTCAACCAAAGATTATAAATATAAACATAGTTAAATAAATCAAACTTACCTATTTTTTGGACTATAAGACGCATCTTTTTACATAGAAAAATGGACTTAAATTTTGGGTGCGTCTTATGGTCCGAAGGATTGTTTTTTCAATAAATCGTCTCTAAATTTGAAAATAAAACAAAAAAGACTTTCATATAACGTGAGGTATAAACTAAGTGTGATCAATCATGCAAAACAATATGAAAACAGCAGAAAGACACTAACATTCCGTTCGCACTTGCAAAAATAGTCTCAACTTTTGGATGAGTCTTATGGTCCGAAGGTAACATTAAAATATGTTTTTCAATAAATAGTCTCTAAATTTGAATTGATTTTTTCTTCTTCTAATTAAGTATTTATGTGTCATTTTCAATTAATAATAGGTCAACAAATAGAAGTTAAATACTCAGAAATATTATTTTTATTTATACAGTTATGATAGCGGTTGTTAATAAAAAAAAATAGGTTATTGGAATATAACATTTTTGCAATCTGAATACATTAGTTTCGATCTTTCATTTATTTTAATCCTATAATCGTCTCTTCCGATGGTTTTGCGTTATCCTTTTGTTATAACTTCTGTTTAGAACCTGACATGGTTCAACAAGAGTGCAGTCCTTCAACGGAAATCCATGCAATTCCGCTAACTTTAGAAATCCGAGCTAATTACGTAATCGCCGCGCTGCTCGTTCCATTAATTGAGAAAATCGTTGACGCGCTTCCGGTTTCGTGTTTCGCCAAAAGAATTGACCTTTTCAGACTACTTACGCATCCGCCTGTATGTTCTATTTATTTATTTATTTATTTATTTATTTGTTTTCTCCCGTAGTATTTTCAATTTCTTCTATAAGTCGAGGTAAATTTCCTGTTTTGTATTAGGAGTATCGCGGATATCCGGTTTCATTTGCACGCGTTGTGCTTACTGTAAACAATTTATGTTTGCACAAAATGTTCTCTAGGCTATTTTTATTCGAAGACTTGTTACGGTGCACAGACTGACTTCATCTTGGAACCGTCCAATCAAATTGCACGTCTACACAGTCATTATATAACAAACGTTCGCCATTGCAAATTTTTTACCATATCATGTTACGGAATATTCACTGTTTCGCAAGTCTTTTAGAATTGCATCATTAAGACAATAATCATTTGTAGTCATTAACTTAAAAAACGAATATATAGTTAAGATTACTGCGTGCGAATAGCATGTATGTAAGCTGATCATCAATATTGTTACATTGCGGTTTCTTAGAATTAAAAAAAAACTACTAGAAAGGTGTAATAATTACGATTAAAAACATTTGCAATATTTTATATCAAGTTTCAGATTTTTTGGAAAAATTGCAATAATTTCATATATTAATATATATTACAAAACGTTGACAAGCTAAAAGTGCTTTATTTCGTAATCATTTTCTATAAAGTTTAAAATAATTGTGGTGAATTGAATGAAATGTATATTATGATTATTTTACTAAAAAAATAATATTTTTCTTATATTTAATTTATTTTCATGGATTTAGTGTATATAAATAAAGGATATTGCGTAGTGAAATTGCTAAATGAGTGATGTGTGTCGTTTTGATGTGTTGCTTAATGCACAGCCATCTTGAGTCTTGGTCATATGACGACTTCATGCACGTTTTAAATAATTTCACATGTTTCCATTGGAAAGGGGGTAATATTGTAAATAAGTATACAATTAGCTATAGCTTGGATTGCTGCGAGGTTGTCAGTTTTAGTCATTGTCAGTATTTAGCAACGATAACTCCCACACAATGTACGTTACCCAATGCGTAGTTGGAGATTTGAAACCCACACGGAAATGGCCGCACATCCAAACGATTATTATATAAAATAGAAAATATATACATTTTTCGAGATATACGCGTATTTTTTTTAGCCCGTTGTAATGTAAATTATAAAATGTAACGTATACATATTCATAATTCGAATCATTGTGTTTAAAATTAAAACTAGCGTTTTTTCTTTTGCTAATAAAATACTAGAAAAACTTTCTAATTAAAAGTTCAAAATACCAAAAACGTAATCGAATATTCCAATGAACATACATTGTTTGCAACTAATTTTTGTCAACCAAAATTCGTAGTCGCCAGAATAATTGTTTCGATAGTTAAATTGAGTACGATCATTTACTGCAGTCATTTACCTATTATTATTAATGGATATGAAATTAGAGAATAAAAATATTACTGTTGGTGCTCTCTGGGTTTCATCCAATGGAAAAATCATTCTTCGCGAGGCTTTGAAGCCCAATTTTAAAACATCTGCTCTCAATAGTCTGTAGCCTGCACTAACCACCTGCCATCTGTCATGTGCACGTGCACATCCAATACACAGTTCTCCCTCTCCTTCGTATATCTTGAATATAGTTATATTATTCAATACACATATTTGAATTTGAAAAAAGTTACAATATTGCTTTGGTTTTTAAAAAAATACAATGCCTAATTGTATATATTCATATAAATATCCTAATGATTTTGCATTGAATGTAATAAATGCAGTGTATAGTTATTATTATTTATTGGTCAAAATTATGACCATGGCTATCGACCGAGGTTTTTCCGCCAAGATATTTTAAATTCATTATTTCATGATTCTATTATATTATTCATAATGTCGCTATTTTATATGAATAAACCAATAGTATTGTGTATAACAAAATTGATTTAAATTGTCCTTTATTTTCAATGACTACTATTTCTGTTTAATGTGTTAAGACATCACTATTAAATAAAATTATTTATATTAATAATAACAACGAAAATATTTGTTGCGACATCATTAAAATTTTGTTTTAGTTTCTTTTGTGAAAGAAAATCTGCTATTATGAAGGGCAGATGTTGCTCAGATTTTGAGCACCTGCTTCATCCGTCATTCTCTCTAAACTACTACTCCACATAATGTCCGACCATTTATTTCTATGTAGTTTTTAATATTTCTACTCTACTTATTATTTTCTTTAAAATTAAAAAGTACATGTTTCTCTGAAACAAACTGCTTACGAAACAAAAAGAAAAAGACATTTCATTGAATTTGATTTGGTATTGTGCTTGTGCATTTTTGTTGTTGTTGGTCTCAGATAAAAGTGCAGCTGTCGCTTGTTATTTAGGTATACCTTTTCTCCTCCGTATTTCCCTTCTCTCCTGGTTCCGATATTTTGACGTATTTGTCTGCTTCTACCTGTGCCATAAGGGGATTCTGAGCGATACAAGAAATCTCTCAGTTCACCATCTGCTTTAGTGCGCTCCGGTTCTTGACGTTAATGCAGTGTTCCTTACATCATGATCATTTGTATATCGGGATTTTTGGTTGGAAGGTAATACGATGAGAACGAAACATTGTTCAATTAAAGAAAATATATTTTAAATTCGTGTCCAACAAGTGAACAATTCGTGATGTGTTGTGGAATGTTTTATTTATATCGATAATAAATAACATTCTTGACTAGTTTCATTTTTATTACGTTAAATTTTATGAACTGCGATTTTTATCATAATTTTGTTTGTTTTTTGCAGTTTTCCTCCAAAAATGGAACGACCCCAAATCGCATCATCGTTGGGGACGGTGCATGTACAGGAGCAAACATACATCCAGGCACCGTCATACGTTCAAACTCAAAACTATTCGCAGTGCTCCACGCCGAATCAAATGTACTCACGATCCTCCCCAAATAGCAGCTCAGGCTACGTTTCCGTAGCACAGCCCTTGCATAAGAAGGGATCGCTGCGAAATGGTGACATCCTGAAGAGATCGCGTGTCCAAACTTCGTAAGTATTTTCTTTATATTATATCATATGAGTGGAACTAATTTTAAAGATAATTCAGCACACGACCACTTCGTTCCAGATATGAGTTGTCTCAGGATATATTAGACAAACAGATTGAAGTGTTGGAGAGGAAATATGGGGGAGTCAAGGCTCGAAACGCGGCACTCACAATTCAAAGAGCTTTCAGAAGATACACACTCATTAAAAAGTTTGCATCTATAACGGCTATGGCCAAAGCGGAGAAGCGGATTAGTCGGCGCATTCAAAATAATGGAGACGATGTCAGAAGCACGATTGGCGACAATGACCAGTGCGAAGGAGAATACATGAGAAACTTCGACAAGTAATTATAATTGTACTTGCTTTACCTATAGTTACTAACTTTTTTTTTTCTTAGTGGTCATGAATGTGGTACAATAAGGGCTCTTCCGATGCGATCAATGTCTCTTCGCGAAAGAAGAAACGTAGATAATATTTCAATCCCTCGCAGCCAGTCGGGCACACCGACTGTTTGTTGGGAGAACTACTCACAACATTTGCACCTGCCAAATTACTATTCCGTATCAGAAGGTGGTAAGGATTCCCACAGTTTGCAACCCGTTAGCAGTCCTAGCAGTTGTAGCACTCCCCAAGGAAGCAATAACGGCTACGTCCGTTCGCGCAGCAGCTTGAGCAACCGAAAAGTTCCTCCAGAAGTCCCAAAACGTACGTCCAGTATCTCGTCCAGATCGGTAGATCCTAGACATCACAGGTCAAACGGCCTGAGCAAAAGCACGGAGAATGGCTCGCTCTCGAGCGTTCAAAGCTCAGGAAGCGACAGCAGCATATCTACTGATCGAATACAATGCGGTGACTATCCGTCGTCGCCAGTTTGGAAGCGCAAAGGTGGCCATCACCAAGAGTACGCTGAACCAACATTGGAAACTAGTCTCGGCAACATTTCAAACCCGGAACAGCCGCAACCTACCAGTTACAAAATATCGGAAACTGTACGGAAACGACAATATCGTGTTGGCTTGAACCTGTTTAATAAGAAGCCGGATAGAGGCATTACTTACTTGATAAGGCGTGTATTCTTGGAAAATACACCGACAGGAGTGGCTAGATTCTTGATCAGTAGGAAAGGCCTGAGTAAGCAGATGATCGGCGAGTATTTGGGCAACTTACAGAGTCCATTCTGTATGGCTGTACTGGAATGCTTCGCTCTAGAATTGGATTTGTCAGGTATGCAGGTCGATGTCGCCCTCCGTAAATTCCAGCAATACTTCAGAATGCCCGGAGAGGCTCAGAAAATTGAGCGACTCATGGAAGTTTTCTCGCAGAGATACTGCCAATGTAACGTAGACATTGTAGCAAGGTTACGCTCACCTGACACGATATTTGTGTTAGCGTTCGCTATTATAATGCTCAACACCGATCTGCATACTCCTAGTATTAAGTCCGAGCGTAGAATGAGGGTGGAAGATTTCATCAAAAACTTGCGCGGAATCGACGACTGTGGTGATATAGATAGTGATATGTTAGTTGGTATTTATGACAGGGTGAAGGCGAACGAATTTAAACCAGGTTCGGATCATGTAACGCAAGTGATGAAAGTCCAAGCGACGATCGTCGGCAAGAAACCAAATATGGCTCTTCCACATCGAAGACTAGTCTGTTATTGTAGACTGTATGAAATCCCAGATACGAATAAGAAGGAGCGTCCTGGTGTTCATCAGCGAGAGGTATTCCTTTTCAATGACCTCCTGGTGATCACCAAAATTTTAAGTAAGAAGAAATCGTCAGTCACATACACCTTTAGAAATAGTTACCCGCTTTGTGGTATGGTCGTTTCTTTATTCGAAAAGCCACGTAAGTTCAAATTTAAGCCGGTCGCATTTAAATGCAATTAACATTTGAACTATTAATTCTAGATTACCCATTCGGAATTCGTCTCTCGCAAAAGGTTGATGGTAAAGTGCTAGTTACGTTTAATGCTAGGAACGAGCACGATCGTTGCAAATTTGCTGAAGATTTGAAGGAATCCGTTAGTGAAATGGACGAAATGGAGAATCTGCGCATTGAAGCAGAATTAGAACGCCAAAAATCTAGTCGAGGTAATAATAGAACAGGTACGATATTAAACAACGAACAGTTCTCCTTCAATCCTATGTCTTTAAAGGTACCGAGAACCGGGATAGTGGTGTCGCCGACGTGGAGGCTTTCCAGTGTCAATGTCCATGTGCCCAAACTCCTGGAGCTGGGCCTAGCGAGGGAACGTCAGAGGAAATGGGTCACGAAACGCAGATTAAACGGTCTGCGCTGAGCAACTCCTTGCTAGACATCCATGAACAATGTAAGCTTATTCCTAGAAGGGAATGGAATTATTTATAATGTGATGTCAGTGCAGTTACAGGAGAGAAGGCGCAACGTCGCGGAAGTGTAGGTTCCCTGGACAGCGGTATGTCCGTATCCTTCCAATCGACATCAGCCAGCACATGTTCGCGATCAGATAAGATGAACAGCAAAGGCAAACCAGTCTACTACCAGCATTCGTTCCTCAGTGGGCTATTCAACAAGAAGCAGCAACCATGCATCGTGGCCAAATCTACCGAAGTCTAAAACCGGAGAGATTGCAAAATTGTACCCGTGGAGCTCAGGTGCTCAGATAGTAAAAATCTAATATCTAATGCTCATATTGTTTGAACAGATGATACGTATCGAAAACTAAAAAAACAGCAAGCAAAAATTAGATTTAAAATAATACAAATAAAAGTAATAATTCGGTGCTGGCGTAGAATATTTTTAACAACTATTTACCAAATAAATTAAGAAGTTAAAACATTTTCAAATAGTTGTTGGAAATGGAAAATTATATATATATATATATACATATTGATATGTGTATATATATATTAACCAAAAATAAAATTCATCATTCATGAGTGTTACCAAATATATTACATAACTAAGGCTGTCTGTAAGCAGTTTAACTATATAAAATAATTATTATTATAATAATAAATATCTCCTTATTTCGTCGTACTAGAAAAATGCAAGTCTTTAATGATATTTTACTTTACTTTAGAGAATAGAAGGATCCAATGAATGTATAAAACAAAGGTGATAATAATACTTGCTCCCTTCACACTAATTGTCCAGTTGTCGCAAGGAAAGCCTAATTTGTATATTTTATTGGTGTTTATATATTTAGTAGATAGCCAGTTCACCATTCATGGACCAATCAATATTAATAATAGCATTAGATTTTTTTACTGATATAATGCATTGTTAATCACCTGCAATTCGTTTATTATGTAGCAAATCAATTCAAAAATATTCTTTATATTTAATTATATATAAACACAAAATAATTAATTTTTTGATTATTATTAATAGATATATTTGATATTGAAACAACTTACCATTACAAGGCGCTCGATATCTTTTTATTTTCATAACTACTAAATCCTATTACAAAAAACTGACAAACCGATATTATGGTTTTTGTTGTGTTTTTAATTTTCAGAAGAATAAACGCGAAGCTCATTTATAAATTAATGATCAGAAGTACACGTACAATACATATTTTCTATATTAAAATATTTATTTTTGTTTACAAAAGAATAACAAATGTTTGTGGTCTTGTTCTAAATTTGATGCATTTTTATCAATATTTGTCCAATTTGTAAATATTGTATCAACAGGATTGGAAACATTTAATAAATTTTAAAATTGATTATGCATCATAGTTTTATAATATATATTATATGTACGAATGGTTTTGAACACGACGTACTTCTTACTTCGTTGTTTTTTTTGTTTATATGTATTGCTACATCATTTAATGCAGGCTGTGAAAATAACAATGACATTTTAATTTTCGCATTTCATCAGCAGTATTTAATGTTTTTGTCAGTAATTGTTCCAGGCTTGGTATATATACACCATATATATAAATAACATATTTTTCGATCATTATAAAGAACAACATATGCGGGAGAGTTACACACATGTATTCTAGTCGGATGTATATAAACGCAACTAGGAGTTTCATACTTAATTTATGTATTAAATGTCATTTTTTAAATAATAAACAGCGAACAATTACTATTCAAGAAAATACTTATTCATACAAACATAGATCATGGCTGCACAATGTACGTGTTACGTATATCAAGGCTCTAAAAACTATAGAAGTTGCTTTTATTAAAGGAAAAATTAGTGTAATGTGGATATGTATAAAAACTGAATACATAATTTGACATGCAGGTAAGTAATATATTTTAAAGATATATATATATATAACTGTAAAATTTTAAGTCCAGAAAAATATTTATTTTCACCTATGGTCAATAGCCCTTTGTATCAGTTAACTTTTTTGATATTTTACCTATTTATTTTGTTCTTTTTATTTCTGTATATGTTTTTTTTTGTACGACTGATGCAATAAACATTATTATTATTTTCAATAAAGAGAAGATCCAGAAACCCCACTTGATATATATATATAATAAATATTTTATTCACTCAGTTATTTGTAAATCTGTTTATTAAATTTTGTGGTTGAACCTCTTTATTCTTAGGCGATAATTTGCTGTATGCATCAGCTCTGTAGCTAGTTGATTTGGGTGGTTCTCTAGCCGGTGGTGGTATATATTCCTTGACGAAATTGATGTTAGCTTACTTTTGGATGTCATCATTTGTATAGAACCATGGAGCATTGGTAATTTCTATCAGTGTTTTCGATTGGAATATCAATGCTGTTACAGGCAGATCCTCAAAAGCTGAATGCCTTAGGTCCACATTGGTATTTGTTATACAGCAACACTTGTTTTCTGTAGAGATGCTTGAGCGTCTTCCCAGTAAACAATTAAGCTTTCTAGCACTCAAATTGTTATATTTTCTCTTGGTTCTTCCATCAGTAAAAGATGGCCATGCTGACTTGCTGAGATGTAGGCAGATCGGCCATGAAAAGCAGATAGGGTCCTGAAACGTTTCCATGAGGGACTCCAGAGAGGATTGATCATAGAGTAGTCATTTTTGTGTTTGACCATTAAATACGATTTAAAGATGGTAAATCAAAACATTAAACAAGCATAATTGTATCATAGGTAGAACCAAACTAATTTAAGTAATCTATTACACTTAGGGCATCAAAATTATTTTTTTTTGTTTACCAGTAAATATTTTTTGAATGAAAATTTTGTATTATAATACTACTACATATTAAGAAGCAATATTTGTATAGTATATGCCAACTGAAGGCAAATATAAAAAAAATTATGCAATATGTGAAAATTATATTAAATTAAAAAAAGAATTTGTGTATCTATGCGAGGCAAAATAAAAAAATGTATTGCGGCTCTCTTTGGCCTCATGTGTATCTCTGGTATATGCAAAAGGGTCATTAACAATAACCTATTAAGTTTTAATAAAAGTTAGATTTTATTTACAAAACCTTAAAAATAACGAATTAGCAGAACTTCTTGACAAGATTTACCGGTAATGGAAACCCTAATTATACAAGAAATTGATTCTTAAAATTCTTAAATATCTGTAAAACATGACTATAAATAGACTATTATTATGTAGACCAGCATTCTTCAACCTACAGATTGGCAAAAATATTTGGCGGATCGGTTAATATAGAAATAAAAAATAATGTAGATAGTAATAATAAATAATTGTATGTTATAAAATTAAATTTTGAGGTAATTCATGTTACCACAGATTGAAAAACACTAAATATAATGTTATATAACACCTATTATTGTATTGTTTTTGTAATATATTTAATATGATTAAGGTTTTGTTTTGATTTAAGCTTTGAAGTCTGTTCTATAGAGGCGCAACACGCATGTTTATTTCTCTATCAAAGTCGGTATGTAGTAGCGTGCTCTCGAAATTTTGGAAATCGAGTGGCGCCTCTATAGAGCTGCCGTCAAAGGTTAAACCAAAACAGAACGGTTTTTAGAAAGAAACATTTGTTTATATTAACTAAGGTGATCATTTTTTTTACAATGAAAAGGAAGACAAAAAAAATTAACAAAAATGTATATTTTAAATTTTATTAATTCAAACAAAAATACACTAATTATGCTTACATCGCTTTTAATTATTTAATTAAACATTGAATGAATATTTTTGTCAATATATCATTTTCTAGCAATATATTGGAAATTTCGGAGCAAGAAATATCTTTTATATTGAATTTTACGTTAAATAAAATCTTCATTTCTCACTTGTACAAAAATCATTACCAATTGAAAGAACTCTTTCAACTGCTGTATTAGTTCTAGAGCAGCACAATTCAACAAGAATACCTAAATTTTCATATGGAATGTGTCCATTTTTGAAACGGTTAGATATTTCCACCCATCTTTTATGAATTTCAACATGTTAATTTTCTACAAACACTACAGGTATTTCTTTCGATACAAACTTAACACAATTTTTAATATCTGCCCAATTTAGTTGCAATGAAATCAAAAAACACCATTGAAAACTGTTATTTCCTGTGATAATTGTTTCACATCATTCTTCGACACATTGAAAACATGTTTGGTAAAAATTCTGCACTTATTTTCCGTTATGCCCGTATTTGATTCCTCTAAGATAGACAATTTTCTTTTAATTATTAAAAGAACAATTTTTTCTTCAGATCTTGATTTATATTGAAGGACAAAATCGTTCAAAATGAGAATAACAAAATACATTAATATTTCCGATAATTTATAATTTTTGGACATAATCGCGTCTTTCCGAACTGTACTGTCACATGATGCGTAACAGTTCGGCGCGGCATATCTCACTACAGAGATTAACAGATTGGTTTTAAAATATCGAAAAGGAGGACAAGTAGTTGGACACTTTTCGAGGAAGGAGGGAACCTAAAAAAGAACTGTCTTCCCTAAAGGAGGACGATTGGTCACCTTATATTAACGACAAAATCGTTTTCAGCTGATGGATGCAATAACAACAAGGCCATATTAATCGCGCGGCATTCGAACGTAATGTTTGTCCGGCATAACAAAAGCGAGTTTCTAAAGTTTTCTTCCACTGGAATCAGATCAGATTGAGGGAGACAAATATAAGTATTTTTACTAAACTAAAACTAAATCCCACTGCCTTTAATTTTTTGATACATTAGTATTTAAAATCCCCCGCAATGAAGGGACAAACAAGTGTTTCATATTGAAATTTAAGTAAAATTTAAAATGAATTAAAAAATACTTGTGGACTTTTCTACAAATAAAAAGAATTATCATACTATTTCTTTTAAAAAACATTTATTTAATAATATAACTTGGATGTTAATAAAACATATTGTTTAATTTAAGGTTTAATAAATATTAAAATAAAAATAATAATTATGTTTATTACATCAGTCGTACAAAAAAAAACATATACA